CATGTTTCCAGACCATGTATTCTAATGCATTCTGTGTTTTTTTAAGATGCAGAGTGCATCTCCGATGCAAGTACAACCATGTAAGTACTGATCATAAAGGAGATGTCAGCATGCTGGTTTTCATGGCAAATATGTCACATCAGAGCTATATTTAGAACTAGACCGAGTTTAGAATTATGGGCAAATATTTTATAGGTAGACAAAAGCTGATGGGTGTTCTTACGTGCAGAATTTACTCTGCATCCATTGCACATTTGACTTGACATGCAACAAATCCTCAATTGTGTTACATTTCAGACTTGAAAATATTAAGACAACCACAGAGAAACGGGCATAGGTTTCGATATACGTCGGAGCGTGGCAGTCATGGAACCCTAGAGGCTGAGAGAATGAGTAGGGACCAGAAGAAAAAGGAGTATGTTAGTGTCAAGGTGCGTGACATCAGATGTACCTAGTTAAACAGATGCAACTGTTTCCACGCGAGCTGAAAAAAACACACTGCGTCCAAGCGAACAATGCGAATGAAACAATCAGTGCACACAGCAACAACTCGTGTAAACTCAGTTGCGCGATCTACAGGCGATTGTCGGTTCAGATAAAATGTTGCTTGCATAAACAAACATCCCCTACAAATTACACATGTTATTTTGAATTGAATAATGTTAATTGGACTAGAGAATTTTGTACGAATTACGAATTACAGAATACGAATTATACAACGGAAATTAAAGGGAATAAAGACGAGAAATATTGGGACCACATGTTTTTGTACGAATTAGGTCATTCTACGAATAAAGTGATGACGAATTAAGCGAGGTTGACTGCATTAGTCTCATAAAATATTTGTGACCCGGTGAGTCGGAAAGCTTGTGTACCTACACTAAACATATTCTCTCTCGTCAGTTGGTAGGTTATGGACCGCGAGCTAAGATAGTAGTAAGTTTGGTCACCAACGACAGTCAACGTGAGTCGCACATTCACCGATTGGTATCCAAAAAGTCTGATCTCTCCGCTAACGTATGGAGCCACCCAGAATTACAAGTGGACATGGCGTGTGAGATGACTGCCACGTACGTGAGTTGCATGAGTTTAATAAAAGGCGTAAACAATCAGCATAGCGTCGCTGTAACCTAGCTTACTGCACAACAGAGTCCTAATCTTAAACAGAGAATCATTTGTTGTCCTTTTAGGTTCAGTGACATAGCAGTTACGGTTGTTCCACAGAAGATGCTGACGGATATGCACTTTAAAGAGCATATATCTGCAGAAAAAGGAAAGAGCCGCAGTGTTCCTATAAACTGTACGTATGTGCACAGTGCTCATGATCATGTGATCATCTATCGTGAAATACTATAGCTCGCAGGCTTTCCAGCGGCCCTAAAATTCCTTAAAATTCTGAAAATTTTGAGCTCGTCCTAAAAAAAAATTTTAAATCGTAAAAAATGTATGAAATTCCTAAAAAAAGGGCTCAAATTTTATTCAATTTCCTAAAAAAAAAATCCACAGATATGTTTTGAGTTTTTGGTGATGAGATGATGAACTTTTGGTTTGTAATTATGTCTAATGCAGGGTCTCCAACCATTCCACATTCTGCGGAATCATTACGATTTCTAGGCTTAATTTCCGCACTCCGCAGCGGCAAGGTTATATTCCTCATTTCAGTTGCACTGTACAAAATTTGCACTGATTGTTTGCATTGTTCGCTTGGACACATTGTTTTTTCAGGCATTTTGTATCATCTGGCATGTCTACGGTAAATGGAATAGCCTAGTCAGACAGGCGCTGTCTGCAAGGTGTCGCGCGTAGTTTGTCTGCTAATCAGACAAGGGTTGTAGGGTTGAGTCTAGGGTTGAGATAGTGTTATCAGACATTAGAATATGGCCCACAGTATGCCTCAGATTGCAGAAAAATGGCTTAAATTTTTTAAAAAATTTCTGGGGGGCATGCCCGCAGACCCCCCTAGCACTGGCATGCCTACGGCACGCGGGCCTGCCTGCGGCAGCCAAGGAATAGCTGGTAGACTGGACACATACAACAGAGAACTTTATCTGTAAGTTAACACGTTGATGTTTATGAAAGGTAAGTGACTTATTTTATCCCTAAAATGTTTCGATTCAACTCTAAAAATTCCTAAAATAGCCCTAAAAAAATCAGAATTTCTCCCTAAAATTAGCCCTTAACTGCTGGAAAGCCTGTATAGGCTATAAAAAGGGTCAAACAAACTTTTGCATTCTTGGTGAATTTTCTATGACGTTTGGGGTCGCAACAGACTAACATGATATACAGGGTTGGTATCCGTCCGGAAAACCCACGGGAATTCTGGAATTTTAAAATGACATTTTACATCCCTAAAAAGTCCGGGGTAAAGTTGTATTATTATGATTAGTCCTGGAAAGTTGTGGAAATGTTGTCACATATCTATTAGGTTCATATTTTACCAATGATAACTAACAAGTTTAATATACTTAAAGAGACAGTAGCCTCTAGGATTTTACTGCATACAACTGTACTTACTGTATAACAAATCGTCTATACCCACA